AGCAAGAAACAGATCTCTGAAGAAAATGTACTTGTCTACCGTTTTCTTACTTATGCAAATAAAGTTCTGTTTCATTTAATTTACGTTTACTTGTTTTCATTTTTTATTCAAGTCACTACTTTCGACTTAGTCGAAATCTTTGATACATTTACTTTCAAACTCAATCATTTTTCTAAAGTAGTCAGCATTCAATACAAGTATTTCGATAATATTAATGCACACTCAATTTACCCAGAAATTTAGCACAACTTGCCTCAGGATTTACTAGTTTGGCCCTTCAAATAATAAATTTAAAATTAAGTGATTGTTTATCAAAAACACCAATGAACAATGCCAAATATCAAAACAGGTGACACTCGGCGGGTATGATACAGGTAAAGTTCCAAATAATGGTGTAAATAATGAAAAATTAATCTTTTTTATTATTAATATTTTCTATTTTAATTTTCATAAAATATATTTTAAAAATAAAAATGAAAACAAAATTAAAATGTATTTTATAAAAATAAATAAAATATTTTATAAAAATAAAATAGAAAACAAAATTAAAATATATTTTATAAAAATAAAATGAGAAAAAAATAATCTAAACATAATGTATTGAAGATTCACCATACCAATGTGTCAATAAAAAATCTAAACTTTTTATTTAAAAAATAAATAAATAATCTAAACATTAAACTAAAATTGCATCCATGGCTAAAATATTTGATAGACATCGTATAAAATATAAATGTTCAGTAGCTACCAAAGATCTCACAAAAACACACAAACGGACCATACATGGTGAACGTGATCCTATGCTTTATATGGTATTATCTATGGTGTAAAATGCACATGCTACTATGATGTAAAAATTTCTTCTAAAAAAGAATAAATAAATCTACACTAAACTCTCTTTTCCTTGTGATTGTAAAAGATAGTGACGAGTCAGTGGTGCTTTTGCAAACTCCTCAAACATACGACTAAAGTAATCAAATCTCCACTGTCACTTTGGTCGTGTTTTCTCCGAGTGATTGGGTTTGTCTTCTCCTTCCAAGTAGAGTTGTCAGTCCTAAGCAGAAAAGAGTATAATATTTCTATTTCCCCACGGAGTCCGATCCTCGTGGAAGACGATTGTTTTAGTTTAAGTTTCATTTGAGCTCATACCTCAATGATCGAGTCTTGCTTGACAGTTTCTCTTCAGATACTTCCTGAACTGAACTTTGGTTCCTAACAATCACATCTTGTGGATATCTCCAACTTTTAAATCTGGAATAGGCGTGCATTTATTTTGCACTTTACTCCCCAAGAGAATCTTTATGAAGATCACCATTGAAGACAAGCTACTTTCTCCAAAAATGTTACAAGATTTTCCTCAACAATTTACATTTAGACTACAAGCGATCTTTTTATTTGAGCAACTCGCTTTGATCAGGATTTCTATCAAAAACGACAGAGGGCAGTCTCCTCAAGACAGTTTGTCCATCCTCAGGGAATTATCAAGATTATCAACTCGTCAAATGACATCACTCCGAAAATCCGTCAGAGAAGTTTGTTGAAGACGTTACAAATATTTCTCTTTATTTGAGAATTTTCACCTCAAGAGTTGCATACATTTTACAGCTACAACAAAGGCACTCCTCAGGGATGCATTCCCCAGTGAGTCCGTTACACAAGTCTAATTCCATCAAATGGCATCTCTCCCGAGAAGTTTGGTGAAGTTTATTACAATTGACATCTCTTTATTTGAGAAGACGTATTTGCACATCAACTGACTTACATCTCTTCCGAAGATCCCCAGTGAAGTCGCCAATTCTCACCGCGACACCCACTACGAACGACTTAGGGTTATTATCACAAACTCCATCGGCATACGACTAAAGCAATAATATCCCCACAGTGTTCACACACAGATAAAAACAATAAGCCACAAAATGGTGATTAAATAATCATCCCATCTTGGTAGCTAGCCACTCCACAGACAATGATGAGTTCTCATTACGTCGAATTCGACCAGGTTCTCACTTGGGGGTAGAGAAGTAGAATCGATCATTGGCCAAGCAAGATCCCTAGAGACGCCAATGAAATTATGAGCACGACCTCAAAGAACAAGCTATCTTCCATAAAAACGAACTCGGGAATTAAAGTAATGCCATAGATAGTAAAAATAACACTAAGTAATAGAAATTAAAATATACAATGCCAAGCAGGAACCATAAAGTTAACATATTCATTGAAGTTACATTGAATACCTAGATAACAAAAAAAACTAACAAAGGACTACACATTCGACTCATCACTAATAGGAACCGGCTTCCCATTCCCATTTCTTGGTTTGGACTGACGTTCTTTCGTGAAATATGCACTTGAGGACAAAAATGTTCCACCTGATGCAATGGATTCTTGAAAGATACATACACGATGGATAAACTATCTTCCACTACCTTCACATACTCCATAGCCAAAGAAATATTTTCAAAATGCATTTCTTGAAGACCATCCTCAATTTTCTTTTAACCTTCTCAGACTTCTTTTAAAAAGGCCTCCAACTCCTTTACCGTCTTGCGAGAATAGTCTAACGCCTTGTATTCTTTAGAGAGAGTGACCTCGACCTTTGTCCTTATTTAACCCTTGTCCTTCTTTACCGTGAGCAACTACACCTTCTCGGCCACTGTGTAGAGATACTCGAAAGTCTTTACAGCGAAACATATCTCTGAAAGCAAGATAGGTGACCCGTGAAGGTGCTCTTGATACCAGTCTCGCTCAATTGTGAAAGCATTTACACGTTCCTAGAGCATTTCCTTTTCCTTTCGAAGACGGTCAAACAAAAAACTTCTCCTATCCCGAGAACTTCAAATGTCGAAACAGGTGACATTTAGTGAGTATGGGGAAAATAATGAAAAATTAATCTTTTTTTATTATTGATGTTTTTCTGTTTTCATTTTCATAAAATATATTTCAAAAATAAAAATGAAATCAAAATTTAAATGTATGTTATAAAAATAAAATGAGAAACCATGAAGATGCACGCTATGCAAGTCTTGCCATGGAAATAACAAACTTTAGTCGTGACTTGAAAAAGAAGAAAGAGAGAATAGCATGCATGCAATGATGAGTAAAGTGGAAGCAAATGTATCAATCAATCTTATTCCTTCCGTTTCAAAATAAAAGTCTTTTAAGGTTGTTACACATAGATTAAAAAAATGTAATGATTGAATAATTAAATATAACAATTTACAAAACTGCCTTTAATTACTACTACTATGTCTCATATTGTAAGCAAATTTTACTTTTCAGATACATTAAATAATTAATGTATCTGATTTATATATAGTCCAAATACATTAATTATTCAATGTATCTAAAAAGTAAAATTTGCTTATAATATGAGACAAAAGAAATATTGGTTGTCATAAAGACACAGTGTGATGTAATATCTTGAAAGTTGTGTAGACAATACTCCCTCCGTCCCAAAATGAATGACTAAGTTGACGTTTTCACACAAATTAAGAAGAAAAAAAAATGAGAGAAAATGATAGTTTTACTAAAGTACCTCTATTATGTATTGAAAATGATGAAAATAATATTAATTAGAGGATAAAATAGAAAAAAAAATGCATTGAAAATTAAAATGAGTCATATATTTTATGACACTAATTTATTTCAAATGAGTCACTTATTGTGTGACGGAGGGAGTATTTATTAGAAATAAAGTTGATAAAAATTAATTATTGTTGTATTAAAAACATAAAAAGACTTAATTTGAGACAAATTTCTTTGAAAAAAAGACTCTTATTTCGATATAAAGGAAGTAATAAATTACACGAGCTTAGAGTTGTTTATATATGAAGTAATCTGCAAGTAAGTAACAACTAGAATTTAACTAACTTAGAGTTAGTTATTTCCGTTATGACTATTATTTAGAGCAACTTTAACGCAGGGTTGTTAAATCAAAATTCTTTATAACTTACGTTAATAATAAGAAATTTGTATTATAGGAGAGCTGACATGGCATCCAAATGAACTAAAATTTAGTTTCCATTATTTATATAGTTAATGTTAACTATGTGAAACCTATTATAATATTATTTAATATTAATAAAATATTCCAAATATTCCAACAATAAGGGTATGATATTTGAAAATAGTAACGGTCATATTATCATTTTTTAACTTCTATAAATTCTATAGAAATTTTAATTTTTTTTTACACACAATTTTACTTCTAAATTATTTTCTTTCAATTTCCAATCTTATTTATTTATCAAATGGATCCCAACCAATCGAATCCTTATTATAATTATATTATTATGAAAATGTATTTTTTTTATGTATTATTGTTGTGAATTTTGTATTATTTTTAATTTTATAATAAAATATATTTAATATTATTTTTAAGTTTTTAAGGTAAATTTTATTTAAAAAATTATATGTATTTTAATTAAAATAATTAAATTAATGGTAACTTGAATAAAAAATATAAAATGTGGGGTCAAGTTCTGATTTCTTATAAACAACCACCATTAAAGTAAAAACTACTCAAATCAACTATAAATTTTTTAAATCCTACAAATCACTTTGGCCCCATAAAAAGTATCTTAATTTACCCATTTAATTTACTCCCACTAAAGATGCTCTTACATCATCATCATCATCATCATCATGTAATTACACAAGCATGTGCATACATTATTATTAGCATCATCCTTACTACTATCATTAACAGAAACACTCAACGTGGATATAATGTATGACCATAAAAAAATCTAAACTTTTTATTTAAAAAAATAAATAAATAATCTAAATATTAAATTAAAATTGCATTCATTGCCAAAATATTTGGTAGACATGGTATACAATATAAACGCTCAACAGCTACCAAGGACCCCACACATACACAGGAAAGGATCATACACGATGATCGTGATCCCGTGTTTTATAAGATATCTATCTATTGCTTTATCTTCATATATATATAATATCTATGAGACAAAACATCAAACAGTTGGAAGATGGCGATGGAGGGTACTGTCCAGTGCAAAGCAAACTACGTTCCTCTCACTCCAATCAGCTTCTTGGAGCGCTCCGCCGTTGTTTACCATAACAACCTCTCAATCGCCTACCGTGATGTCACCTACACATGGTCTCAGACTCATCAACGATGCATCAAGCTCGCTTCTTCCATTTCTCAACTCGGCGTTTCTCCTCGTGACGTGGTTCGTTCCTTTTTTTCTTAACGATTCTAGTGATATTGATTTTGGATTTGATTTTTTTTATTGTACTATGTTGTGATTAGGATTTGGTCTGAAATCTTTTGTTGATTGATGATTTGTACTTGTTGTGAATTTTGTACTTGTTTGTGTTTGTGTAGGTTGCTGTGTTGGCCCCTAATATTCCAGCCATGTATGAATTGCATTTTGGTGTTCCAATGTCAGGGGCTATTCTATGTACACTCAATACTCGTCATGATTCGTCCATGATTTCGGTACTGTTAAAGCATTCTGATGCCAAAGTCCTTTTTGTTGATCATGAATTACTTGATATTGCCAAAGGAGCACTTGAAATCCTGTCAAAATCAACGTCCAAGCTTCCGATTTTGGTCTTAATTTTGGACTGTGAGGCTCATCCATCTTCTCATAACAACAGTTCAGTCTCTCCAGGAATATTGATCTATGAGAATCTTATAGCTGAAGGGAGACTTGACTTTGAAGTGAAAAGACCAAAGGATGAAAGGGATCCAATTTCATTGAATTACACTTCTGGAACCACATCCAGTCCTAAAGGTGTGGTATATAGCCATCGGGGTGCCTATCTTAATGCGTTATCTACGATTCTTCTCAACGATATGACATCTATGCCGGTGTATTTGTGGTGTGTTCCCATGTTTCATTGCAATGGATGGTGTTTACCTTGGAGTATTGCTGCTCAAGGTGGCACCAATGTCTGCCAAAGAAATGTAACTGGGGAAGGGATATTTGACAATGTTTTTAAGCACAAAGTAACCCACATGGCGGGTGCGCCAACAGTTCTGAACATGATAGTAAATTCACCGCCCGGAGTCAGAAAATCACTTCCAGGGAAGGTGGCAGTGTTGACAGGTGGTGCTCCACCGCCACCGGCCGTGTTTTTTAAGATGGAAGAGCTCGGATTTAATTTAGTTCATTCATATGGTTTGACAGAAACTTATGGTCCTGCGTCAATTTGCACTTGGAAAGCAGAATGGGGTAGCCTGTCTCAAGACGCACAGGCCAAAATGAAGGCGCGTCAAGGAGTACAGCATGTTGGACTTGAAGGACTTGACATAAAAGATCCCGTCACAATGAAGAGTGTACCGGCTGATGCAAAAACCATCGGTGAGGTGATGTTTAGAGGAAACACTGTGATGAATGGATATTTCAAGGATTTGAAAGCCACACAAGATGCGTTTAAAGGTGGATGGTTTAGGTCCGGTGACTTGGGAGTAAAGCATTCCGACGGTTACATAGAGCTTAAGGATCGTTCGAAGGATATTATCATCTCTGGGGGAGAAAACATTAGCACAATTGAGCTGGAAGGTGTGATTTATAGTCATCCAGCAGTTGTTGATGCTGCTGTTGTGGGGAGACCTGATGAATATTGGGGAGAGACGCCGTGTGCATTTGTGAAGCTGAAGGAAGGGTACAATGCAACAGAAAAAGAGATAATACAATTTTGTCGGGAGCGTTTGCCTCATTTTATGGCCCCTCGAACTGTCGTGTTTTCTGATCTGCCAAAGACATCAACCGGCAAGACACAGAAATTTCTATTGAAGGAGAAAGCAAAGGCAATGGGAAGCTTGTCTAAGAAAAAGAACAATAGCAGATTGTAATGCATTTATAAAGAAAATAACACTGAATGTAATAATATTCTTCAACCTCGTGTTGTAATTTAATGTTGGTACTTTTCATATGTACTATGTAAGATCTGTTTATTCGAATAAAGAAAACTTCAATTGGAAATAACTTGAACCTCTTTCTCTGTAAAGTTCAACTTATGGAACACAGTAAAACAATAAACAAACTGTTTTCTATTTTGAAGACTTGTACTTGGATGGGCAGATTTCAATATTAAAAGTATTCTCATAACAGATCCAAATAATCTAACCGTGTGATTGAATCTGCTGTGACCAAAATTAATTTTGAATTAATTGATTTTATAAAATTGATTCCATTTAAAAGTGAATTGAAGATAAAGTGATTTCTATTTAGATGCATTCAAGTAAAAATGAGTTAAACTATAAATTTAAGAGTAAAAATCGTGTTTAAACTAAAAATTTACAAATCTTAACTGAAGCAAAATCAATTCTGCTTAAAATGATCCAAACACCTCAAAATCTGCTATTGTTGGTGTACAAATGAATGGTACAAATTTCTGCATTAGATGCAGAAGTGAACGTGATTTCAAGTGTTATTATTGGTGTAGGGACATAATGAATGTCAGTAACTTTTATAACAAATGATGGGTTAAAAATGAGAATGACAATGATAGGTTTCTGCAAATGGCCAATCGCTATTGTCAATTGCCTTGTTTATGTCTTTCCTTTTTTTAAACACTCTCAATTCAGTTTAGTGGCATGTTTACTAAATAATGAACACAAAAATGGTATCCAAGTATAGAATTGGTCAATTTCTTTGTTTGAACATGTTTTTCCCCTCTTGTTTTTCTTATAAAAACACTAATTAAATAGTAAATCAAAAGCTATAGATAATCTTCAATGGAAATGCTCAAGCCTTCTTGTTGGCTAGAAACTTGTGCCATTCCTTGATCATCAGCAGCCAAACCTTCCCACCAACAGACATCATCATCAGCAACAACATTGTGCACACGATGAGATTGATCCAAAGCTGTTGTTGTTTGGGCTGCAATGTGTCTAGCATCAACATCCATAGCAACATCAGAAGCAACCTTTTGAACAGACCTCGGAGACATCAAATCATCTCTCTGTTGAATACAATACGAAGACAAAATATCAGGAAAATTGAGTTTCTCCAACGTAGAAGGTCTCTTCAAACAATAAACAGCAACATCATGTGCAACCGCAGCAGCTTCCGGTGTAGCATAAGTTCCCAACCATAAACGTTCTTGACTCCCCGGAACACGAATCTCCGACACAAATTTCCCCCATTTTCTTTGTCTAACTCCCTTAAACTTCCTTTTGCTATTAGCATCACTTGTTGAAGTACTCCAATTCATCTTTAAAGAAAGAAAAACTTTATGTATATTGTTTATAGCTAGCTAGTGGATTGAATGAGAAGATGGTGAAGTGGTGAGAGTTTATATAGGTTGAAGATTTTGAGAGTCAAAGGAGTTTTTAGGCAAGATATGGTGGAGGATGGGGTGGACCATAGAAGTAAAGTCAAAAATTTCAAATGTCAAAGTAAATATAAAAAGGTTTAAAGGGTTTTATGAATCATGACGTTGTTAGAAGATTGCATTAAATAATGTGTTGCAACTTGGATTGAAAGGGTCTATACAAGAATTGAATTAGCAGAGACCAACTCAACTTAAGTATTTCTTCTTAAATTAAACTAATTACTTTAAACAAAAACTTACCATGTATATTATTTATCTAATATTAATTACAAAGTTTGAGTTAATTGTCTAAAATACTATTTACGTCGCTAATAAATTGGGAGATTGAAATTATAAAAATTTAAATTAAATGAAGAGTATTTTAAATATATCATTAGAGAAAAAGTATTAATATTTATTTAGATTTTATCTCAAAAAATATGAATTATTTTTATTTAATATTCTCTTTTATTATTCTAAATGTCTCATTACAGTTAAGAAACATGTTTTAATAAATTAATTTCTTTTATAACAAATAATTTAATTAATTATTTTAAAAAAAATTATGCACACTTGAAACAAAATTCTCTGATACTTTTTTAGTATATATTAAAAAATTATAGTATAATTAGTATGCATAATTTGAATATGAATATCACTAAACATATTTAAAAATAAATTAATAATTTTAGTAAAAATATATTTTGATTGATGTCTAGAATGAAGCAGAGTAAAATAAATATGATAATCAGTGTATGTATAGTGGAATAAAACATAGATCTATTTAATTCATTAGATATTTTTTATAATTAGAAAAAATTAGTTCAATTGCATACTCTAAATCAAATAGATGAAAATTAAAAAATAAAATAAAATAGATTTTGGTCTATTTTGCTCATTCATTATTAAAAAAATGAAATAACAAAATTTCATTATTTACCATTTTATTTTATTATATCTCATATCATTATTGTATCCAACTTGATTGAAATTTGGTAAACAAAAAAGACGATTAAGGACACATGACTTTATTTTTGTTGACAAGATTAATGACTAATAACTTGCTTCTATTTGAAAACGTGGAGAACTATTTCTATTTCGGTGCTATTATAGGTTCGCGAATCCAACGCTCAGAACAAGGGATGAAACTACACGCACCTAGAAATCAAATCGTGGACAATTAGTTAGACAGATCTCAACCACACGTAGCAGAAATTGTGGTTCAAACGTGTCGGTGAGATAAGTGAAGCGCGTGCATACATTTTTCTGTAATGTGTCACGAGTGACGTTATATACAAAAGTTTTTTGTTTTTGTTTTTCAATTCTACAAATTTATCAACTTTCATCTTCAATCTAGATCAAAATCTTTGTCCACTTGCAATCCCCAAATTATCTTTTACAAAATATATTAAAAGTGTACATATATTTTCTAAATTCAACACTCTATTTATTTGAAGATGTAACTCAAGGATTAGCATGATTGTGAGAGTTTGAGTTGGAATTTTGAGAACATAATTCTCTTATTAATTCTAATAAATACAAATAATTTATGGGAAAGGCTAACGAGTGTTCTCAGGACATTAGTTAAGAGATTAAAATGGTAAGTTAGACATTATTTAAGAGATTGAAAATACATTTTTTTTAAATATATGTGTATTCAATGTCCTGAAAAGAGAAATAATCAGACTTTTTAAAGAATATTGTGTGTATTGAGTGAACTAAATATAACATATTTTCTTTATTTGAAATTCTTAACTAGTGTCCTGAGGGCACTGATTAGCATGACCCATAATTTATTTATTTATTTGGACAAAATCTATACAAAAATTAATCATCCTTCGTTTTCAAAATAACCGTGGTTTAAAATTTGTACACACAAATTAAAAAATATAATGATATTGTTATAAAATATTACACTTTTACTAAATTAGTCTTATTAATGTATTGTAAATAATGTATGGAGTAATAATTATATGACACAATTAGAAAAATAACAATTATTACTGCGTTAAAAAGTGAAAATAATATTCATTTTGAAAAAAAAGTTTCCTCTAAAACGATAGTTATTTTAAAATAGATGAGGTAATTTAATAGTGATTGACGTTTAAATTTGATAGTAAAAATTAGAGTTTGATTTCACGCAACTGGGATCAAGAGAAAACTAAAACTATTTAATATTAGAATTAATTCTCGAACTGTGATATAATCGATAAGGTATCGAGTTTCTGAGTTATTTTCGAATATTTATCGTAAACGATTTAGAATATAGTTTTAGGGGTAAAAATCCTTAGATAGTTTTACAAATATAGTTTAGAGACAATGTAGGTATTGTTTGTTGGCTGAAACGGACAACCAGAGCTTCAAAAATCACATTTGCATGAGTAGGGGACGCCATTGCCCTAACCTTTGAGTTGCAGGTTGTTCCGGATCTAGGGAACAATTTAACATTAGGATGCTTTCGTAGATGCAGCTTCGGAACAACCCAAACATTGTAAATTCTGGGTGCTTCCGTAGATACATCTACGGAACTTGTTTGTATCTCCGGACACACATTTTTTATACTCAATATTGATTTTTCCGGAGCTACATCTACGAAAGGTTTCCATTTATACAGCTCCGTAACAAATTAGAATACTTACGCGCCAGAGTCTATTCTCCTCCCCCATTCTTCATTTTTCTTCTCATTCTCAAACTCTCTCAACTCAAAAAATCCTTTTCCACCAAACTTCATTATTTTCAATCAAATTTGACAAGGAACGTCCATTTCAATGATCAAGAAACACCAACACATTCAAAGCTTGATATAATCGATATGTTTTCGAGTTTCCGAGTTATTTTTGAGTATTTCCCGTAAACGAGTTAGAATATAGTTTTAGGGGTAGAAATCCTTAGATAGTTTTAGAAACATAGTTTAGAGACAATGTAGGTATTGTTTGTTGGCTGAAACGGACGACCAGGGCTTCCAAAATCACATTTGCATGGGTAGAGGACGTCATTTCCGTAACCTTTGAGTTGCAGGATGTTCCGGATCTAGGGAACAATTTAACATTAGGATGCTTCCGTAGATGCAGCTTCGGAACAACCCAAACGTTGTAAATTCTGGGTGCTTCCGTAGATACATCTACGAAACTTGTTTGTATCTCCGGACGCACATTTTTTTTACTCAATGTTGATTTTTCCGGAGCTACATCTACGGAAGGTTTCCATTTATACAACTTCGGAACAAATTAGAATACTTACGCGCCAGAGTCTATTCTCCTCCCCCATTCTTCATTTTTCTTCTCATTCTCAAACTCTCTCAACTCAAAAAATCTTTTTCCACCAAACTTCATTATTTTCAATCAAATTCGACAAGGAATGTTCATTTCAATGATCAAGAAACACCAACACATTCAAAGCTTGATATAATCGGTAAGTTTTCGAGTTTCCGAGTTATTTTTGAGTACTTCCCGTAAACGAGTTAGAATATAGTTTTAGGGGTAGAAATCCTTAGATAGTTTTAGAAACATAGTTTAGAGACAATGTAGGTATTGTTTGTTGGCTGAAACGGACGACCAGGGCTTCCAAAATCACATTTGCATGGGTAGAGGACATCATTTCCGTAACCTTTGAGTTGCAGGTTGTTCCGGATCTAGGGAACAATTTAACATTAGGATGCTTCCGTAGATGCAGCTTCGGAACAACCCAAACATTGTAAATTCTGGGTGCTTCCGTAGATACATATACGAAACTTATTTGTATCTCCGGATGCACATTTTTTTACTCAATGTTGATTTTTTCGGAGCTACATCTACGGAAGGTTTTCATTTATACAGCTCCGGAATAAATTAGAATACTTACGCGCCAGCGTCTATTATCTTCCCCCATTCTTCATTTTTCTTCTCATTCTCAAACTCTCTCAACTCAAAAAAAAAAATTTCACCAAACTTCATTATTTTCAATCAAATTCGACAAGGAGCGTTCATTTCAATGATCAAGAAACACCAACACATTCAAAGCTTGATATAATCGGTAAGTTTTTGAGTTTTCAAGTTATTTTTGAGTATTTCCGTAAACGAGTTAGAATATAGTTTTAGGGGTAGAAATGAAGGTGTGAAAAACACTTAGAAGTGGGGGGGGGGGGGGGGGGGTTGAATAAGAGTTTTAAATAATATGGCAATAAAACAACTCAAGATTTTTATCCTGGTTCGTTGAACTCAACTACTCCAGTCCACCTTATCAAAGATGATTTGCCTTTCTCCACAAGAACTTAATCCACTATTAATCAACTGATTACAATAGCAAGCACTAAGAGCAACTGTCTTAGTCTTCTCAAGAACTACTGACCACACCTTGGTCTTCTCAAGGAACTTCTTACAAATTAATGTAAACTAAACAAGTGTTTAAATGCTTCTAATAAGCTGTATCACAACTGTGATATTTACACTTAAGATTAATTACAAATAAAACTATACAGTTTTATGAAAGAACAAATGTATAAGAGCTTTGAGAGATTTTCACTTTGATGCTTCAAGCGTGTGTATCAATATTTCTTTCTGATTGAGCAACTTATAAATGTTGTAGAAGTTCTCCTTTTATAGCTTTTTCCAAGTGCTTTGAATAATGTGCAGCTGAGTATTATATTGAAATATAAGACTTTTCATCACCAAAAGGTATGGGCAGAGACATGCTTTTTGCAGGAAAAGTATGGTTGTAGAAGCTTTGGGATTAGCATCATGTCTCTTCTTTGGACAAAATAGCCGTTGGTTACTTTGGAAGTAGCACCACGTCCAATCAAGTTTACAGCTTCTTCAACAAGCTTCCTTCATGATGAAGTCTTCATAATCTGCACTTCAGAACTTGTAACAAGCTTAAAGGGAATCAAATACTTGAGATGATCAGAGCTAAATGTTTGAGATGATCAGAGCTTTGATAGATAATCAGAACTTGATATATCAGAGTCTCAATCTTGATCAGAGTCTTCATAAGAGTATGCAGTAGTATGTGCTTGAGCGTGAATATTGTTTGATTAGAGTCTGATTATCAGAGCCTCTATTCTTGCAGTGAAATGAACTTCAGAGTCTGATTTGATCAAAGCTTTCAACTCTTTATACAATTCTTTCAGAAACGCTTCAAATTATTCTGCAGCTTCTACTTCAGATTTTTCTGGTAGCGCTTCAGAGTCTTCTGATTGTCTTGCATCTGATGCTTCAGAGCCTTGCGTAGTTGCTTGTACTTATGTATTTTTCTTCTTTAAGAGTTTTTCAATTTAATACCTGAAACAATAATACTTGAACAAATTTAGAGTATATACTTTCTTAATACAAAATTCCATAAGAGTTATCATTAAAACATAGAGATATAAGAAACACCAATCCGTGTTCTAACAATCTCCCCCTTTTTTATGATGACAAAACATAGGAAATTTTGTTCAATAAAAAGGATAAAATATATAACTCCCCCTGAGATTAAGAATCTCCCCCTGAAATGAACACTCTAATAGAAGAGAACACTTCCCTTTTTGCTGGAGTATATTTCATAACCTGGTAGGAATCCTTGTTAAAATAAAGAATTAGAGCTTGGATGCTTTCCAGAATCAGAGCCTGATGAATTCTTTCAAATAAAGAGTCTGGTTTATCTTCCAGAATCAGAGTCAAATTTGCTTCAAGGATCAGAGCCTGGTTGGGTAATTCTCAGGGTAACTTCAAAGAATTTTTGTCAGATGAAACAATAAAATCTGAAAGTCTTAAAATTCAACGTTAGTTAATACTATGTCGGAATTTCATTTTAGTATTGCTTATGGATTGAACAATCAGATTCTTTTTCTCCCCCTTTTTGTCATAATCAAAAAGAGTTTAAAAGACAGAAAAGATAACAGAAGAAAAGAAAATAAAACACATAAATGAAAAACAGAACAACCAGATTCATTCAAAGAAGATGTTCAGACAACAGATGATTGAAGACAAACAATAGAAAACAAGTGCAAACATAAGTGCAAAAACATGGAAAAGAAAACTAGGGCTGGCGAGATGCAATTAGGGTCAGAAGATCAGTAATCTTTGCAGTAGACTCTTCTTGCTTAGCCATCCAAGTTTTGATCTCCTCAGTAGTCTGTTCTTGTTTTACCATCCATGATCTGATTTCCTTAACTTCTTGGACAACATCTGGAGTCTCAGTTTTCATCTCAGATGCAGAGGGTGCAGAAGCAGATGCAGTTGCCTTAGGATGATCAATCTCCATGTCAGACGCAGCCTGAGGACTAGAAGCAGATGATTATTCCACAATCATCAAAGCATCTTGATTGGGCACTAGAGGCTCTGCAGGAGTATCTTCTATCATTGGAGCAGTATCTTCAGATGAAGAGTCTTCAGCAGGAGCATCTTCCAGAAGTAGCACTGGTGTTCTGGGAATGCTTAGCAGAGTCTGTCTGACCATTTCAGCAAACTTTTCCTTTGCAACATCAGCGCAAACTGCTCTGAGATTAGAGGCAACAATGTTGAACCTTGAGATGAATCTGTTCCAAGAAGCTTCAGATTCAGCAGGATCCATACTAAACAGACACTCTTTTTCTACATAAGCAATCCCTATACACATTTCCTTCTTGAAATCCTTAAACACAGTATAAACATCTGATCTGGGTTTGGGGTACAGATAGTCTTCTAGGGTGACTTTTTGTGAAGGTTCAGGGCTTGTTTGAGTTTGTTCAGGAGGTGTTTGATCAGATGGTGGTTGTTCAGATGGTTGTGGTTCAGATGGTTGTTGGCTGAAACAGACGACCAGGGCTTCAAAAATCACATTTGCATGGGTAGGGGACGCCATTGCCGTAACCTTTGAGTTGCAGGTTGTTTCTGATCTACATTTACGGAACAATTTAACGTTAGGACGCTTCCGTAGATGCAGCTTCAGAATAACCCAAACGTTGTAAATTCTGGGTGCTTCCATAGATACATCTACATAACTTGTTTCGGGTTTGTATATCCGGAAGTAGAAAATATTATTTTTTTATTTTTTGATTTATTTGTATCTAATTGTTTTTTATTGGTTATTTCGTTGCAGACAATATGGTAGACAGAGATGATAGATTGCGTATTGGACGGATTTTACAACATGCATCTATGAGACGCGAGCGGAGGCAGGCCACCGTTACCCAAGTCGGTACAGCTGAGGCACAACCTACTGGACAACCTTCTTCACCACATGTCCAGGACAATCCCTCGACCTCGTATCCCACCCCATCATCGACTTCTTCATCCCGGAGGCGTCGGGATTCAGCTGAGGGCTCATCACAGGCCCCGTCATTTTGCAGGCCTCGTTGGGATACTCTTGTTACTCATCCTGTCGATGATGTTGCTCTGGTGCCACCTCCAGAGGTTGATGACCCACCAGCAGAGAAAGCTAGTCACGACGACGACGATGAGCTTGAGGGTTTCCCAGGGGGTTCCTCAGATATGTCTCTGTTGGTAGGGTATGCTGACCATACTGCCAGACATGTTTGGGATGGAGAGGTAACATTACTCAGTTTGTTTCTTTTTTTTTCATTGGAAATTTATAATCTGTATCATTGTTGATTACTAATATTGTTTCTTATTTATGAAAAATTTTCAGACTCGTGAGCCGCAGAAGTTCTATAACCATGAGAGAAAGATATTATCTTTGAAGCAGACATATGAGGCTTGGTTCCAGGATGTCCATGCCGCCTTTGGTTTGAAGGACCTTTTGGTATCAGTTACAACCTGATCCATAACTAGATGCTAGAGATGGCACCCCGAAACGTCCTTCTTCCATCTACCGCACGTCGAGCTGACTATTACACTGGACGACATCTCCTGTCTGTTGCATATATCGATCAGGGGTATCCTCCTCCGTCACGGTAGGATGACGAAGGAGGAGGCGAGAGAGATGTTGATCGAATAGCTTGGTGTTGATCCAGTGGATGCGCTGAAGGAGGTGGATAAGACCAGAAGGGCTCATATGCGGTTCTCCTTTCTGACACATAGATTTTGTGAGGCATTCGCTGCTGCACACTAGGAAGATGATGATGTTGGTGTAAGCCCTAGAGGCCAATACTTTTTGGTACTTGTATCGGATTATTCGTTTAATAATAAAAGGCATTTCTTTATTATGTTTGTCTTTCAGAATAATAAAGTCCCTAGAATAGTTAGTCTGTTTAATGAAATGTTAAGTGTGACTTAATCATGAGATCCCATTAAACATAAAGACATTATTCTTAAAATATCCGTAGTCAAGCTTTATTGCAAAGTGGGATAACATTAAAAGCATTGAGACTATTATGAAGATAGACTGATGATCACATCTCATGGATCATGGATAAAGAGTTATCAAGTCTTGACATAGGTATAAATATTAGGAGTAATATTTATACCGGATTGACCCGCTATGAGAATACTACATAGTATGTTATGCAAAGTGTCATAAGTTATTCTCATGGTGATAATGGTGTATTACCACCCTTCGACCTGAAACCACTATGGACCCTAGATGTAGAGTCGGGTGCTTTATTGCTGATCAAACATTATCCGTAACTGGATGATCATAAAGACAGTTGATGGGCACTCCACGAAGCATGCTGAGGGACATGAGTGTCCTAGATGGAATTTGCCAATCCTGCATAACAGGAGAAATGTCTAAGGGCCCAATATTGAACTGGACAAGGATGACACAGTGTATGCCTTGTGTTCAATATAGACATAGGGGCAAAAGGGTAATTGTACAAACATATATTATCACGAAAAAGGTTTTGTCAGATCACATGACATTTTCGTGACTTGGGTAGCAGTGATGTGTTGCTAGATACCGCTTACTGTTTATTATGTTAAATATATAATTTAATATAATTACCAACGTTACGAAATCCTACAGGGTCACACACATAAGGACAGTTTGATGAGAGATAGAGAAATCAAAGGAACACCGTAAGGTACGGTGCACTTAAGTGAAAAATAGAAATTCGGATAATATAATAATAATTATTGTTATTTTATAATGGTTATAAAATAATAATAAAATAAATATATTTATTATAATAATAGTTATTATAATAATATATAATATTATTATGGATCATGTGAATTGGGTTTTTAGCCCGCAGCCCACAAGAGAGTCTATAAAAGGAACCCTTGTGATGAAGCTTTCACTTGATGCAATTTCGTTTTTGATTCTCTTTTCTCACTCAAATAATTCCGTTCGTAAGCAGCTAGCACTGTGACCGGAAGCTGTTCGTGTGGACTGAGTAGAGGCGTTGCACTTCATCAGCGCTTGTGATCGCTGCATCAAAGATCTGAATCGCCACAAAGAGGTAACGATTCTATCACTGACCATGCTCATTCGTAAGGATCACTAAAGGAAATTTTTGTTTTCCGCTGCGTTTAGATCGCAATTTTCCATCAGATGATCCAGCTGATGTTGAGATACATAAACAACATGTGCTGAGGTGTTATTTTCTCTTTTTAGTCGGCACACAGTTGTTTGTGGACACTTCCTCCACATATATCGATGTTGCTTACCTGAGGTACTTTTTGAACTCCACACGGATCCATGAGTACAACTGGGGGAGGCTACCCTGGCTTACACGTATTGGAGACTAGGAGAAGGATGCTTATGGAAGACCAAGAATGTGGCAGACAGCGTGTCACTACTTGTGGTAACTTTTTTTCCTTCATTTCTCTTCATTATATATTTGTGACAATGCATGATCCTAATGTTTTTTATTTTCATTTCAGGCTTGGATATTCCAGCACTTTCCCATGATTGTTGGGTGAGGGAGTGTGCCTGACTACACAGAGCAAATATCACGTGCCCTTGCCTTTACCCCGCTCAGGGGGAACCAGGCGGTTGACCCTTAGAGAGTCTATGTCGATCGCCTGGTTGCTGAGGACATCCGCTACGACGTCTATTTCGATCACCGTGGGATGTGCCAGTTTGACGACATATGACTATTCTCCAGATGGTTGGCATGCAGTTCGACCATCACTGTTCCATATTTTTCGGAGCGTGTCATGTGGCAGTTCAGGTAACACAAATGATACTCAGACACTCAGCTGTCTCCTCTTCTTTTGGCTTGACCCGTAGGTAGATAGACGAGTTCTTTGCTGACTACTAGACGCACATGGCATCGGACGAGGCTCGGGCGACCAGAGGGCCGAGAGCTGGAGTTGCATTGATGGCTACATCATTTGGTTCTTCACCATCTCACACCCATACATGGTTTCCACTATAGAAGGATCACCACCCAGACCAGCTCATGAGGAGATCTTAGAGGAGCAACAACCTCAGTTGGACCACACTCAAGATGTCTTGCCTCGTTGTCGTCAGATAGTGGAGATGGGGCAGACAAACATTCCCGCTGGTTTCTTCCCTGAGGGGTTTGACCACAGGCGTGTATTGGATGAGATCATTGAGGCGACACATGGGAAACTTATGTATCACATATATCGCGCCAGGACGGGTGAGATCGATGGCCGAGGACGCGAACCGGACGGTCGAGGAGGCGACAGAGACAAACGAGGTGGCAGAGGCATATGCAGAAGAGGGGATGCAGATGTTGTCAGGCACACACAGTAGTGATTGTGATGTGTTTTTTGATGTATATATTTTGATGACATTTATGTTACTAATTTTTTTTTATGATTATGACATATTACTTTTCATATATATATTATATTATTTTATTTACGGACGTATGTTATTTTATATTCATCTGCGACCAACAAAATTTGATTTAAAAAAAACATGTTCTGATAAAATTTTGAAGATGCATCTACAAAACTTTTTCCGTAAATGTGTCTCTAAAAACATCCAACGTAAAAAAAAATTAAAAAAAATATCTAGATGGGTATCTTCAAAAGCATAAAGCATAAGAAAAATTTCGGAAGATACTGAAGAATATAAAAAAGGATTAAGAAACTCTCCTTTATAATATGATATGATTAAAACAAATTTAACCTTTTTACATTTTATTTGACTTTTACATATACCGTGTTCTACACTTTCCTTAGACTACTTTGTTGTGGGACGACTTCAAAGTAAAAAACTTTATCTAACACTTTCATATATGAGATGATGCCATTACAAATATACACATTTAAATGTGCCTAAATTACAAGAATGAGATAAGAAAGCACTATAAAAAATTAAATAATGGCTAGTAAAAACACACGTGCCTAAAGCCAACACTTGTTGTGAGAACTAATTTTACTTTTTTTAGTAATAAACAAATTTGATTGGAGATCTAATTTATATTCGGGTGGTACTATAGTATTCTATTGAAAAATAACTAAATAGCCATGTAACTAATTACACACTTAAATAGGAGATAAGTTGTGTTAGCTTGTGCAGTTCCACTTACACCAACATCATTTTCACGTGACCAAAAAAAAAATTGTATATGATTAACATTCAATTCCACAATTACATATATGTCAATACTCGTCGATTATTTAAATTATTTAAATTCATATTTAAATTTATTTATTAAAAATCAATTAATTATTAGTATAATTTTAATTAGATTAATATTTTAAATATGTTATTAATATAAATTTTAACTAAACCTATAATTTGGAAATTCATATTTAAAATAAAAACCAAATTGTTTAAATTTTTTATAAAAGAAAATTTTGATTTTTTTTTTTAAAATACAATATTTTATTTTTCAAAAAATTTATTTTTTGGAAAAAAAGCAAATAAAAAATACTGAAAATAAAAAAAAAAGATTCAAAAAAAAAAGAAAATGATTTTTTTTAAATTTCTTTCCAAAAGTTTAAAAAAAACGATTTTTTAATTTTGAACATAAGTTTTTTTTCTTCTTAAAATAAAAAGGAAACTATTTTTTTAAATAAAAAATTTTTGCAAAAAATTATTTTAAAATAAAATAAAATCAAAACTAATTATAAAATTGGTTATAGATATAACCAATAACTGGTTTATAACAATTTTACAAAAATAAAAATCGGTTATAATAATTCGTTTTAATAACTGATTATGACATATAGATTATTTATGATTATGGATTGATTATAGAAATTAACCGAGCATCCCTACTTATTGGGTTTGAATACAAAGAAAAATCATAAATTTAAAGTAATTACTCTAACAAAAAGAAAAACTAATATAAATTACAGTTTGATAACACCCCTCGTACTATAACCCCTCGTACTATAGTGGATAGTGTACAGTGAGAATTTAGACATAAGAGCCTAATTAGGTCTAACATGTAGAGCTTTCATGAAGAGTCAATTGATTAGAGGTGGACGATTTGTTATAGAATTTTTTCACGAATTAATTGGTATTCCATTTCTCTCCATTTGGTGCGTCTAGGAAAGACTAAGTTGTTGGCTATGTGGATAACATTTTGGTTGTCAAAAACAAATGAGACAAATTAATGGTGAAGAAGGTGAAAGTATTTTATAAGATAGATAAGTCATTTAGCTTGACATGTGGTTTTAACTAAGGTTCTATACTCTATCTTTGATGATAAGCGAGAGATAACCTGTTGCTTTTTACTTTTTTGACTGACAATGGAGGTGCCAAGGTAAAAACAAAAATATGTATTGAACCTTTAAATTTGAGGACATGATACCCAATTAGAATATTTGAAGCTTGTTAAAGTAAGGTTGGAATTTTCTTTAAAAAAACAAGCTATTTACTTGAGAATTCTTGAGATATATAACAATTGGAAGTGTATCGCGGTTGGTTTGGACAAGAATCGGCTCAGACTA